ACAATTTCAGCTTTTAAATTTTGAATACTTGCTGGATTTCCAATTGGGCACTCCTGTTACTGAATTGCTCTTCACTCAATGCTAAATTGTTACTTTTTGTGTACAAAGAACATGCAGTAACAATGAAATGTTGATCTTTGCATTAAGCTAGCAATGTTGGTAGTAATTATATTATTTTTCCAAAGTACCATCAATGTCCTTGTTACCCACCAATGCAGAGCACTACAAATAACATTTTTTGTAACATGTTTCTTCTAAGCATTACATATGAGCAACTGTGGAGTTGCTCTAGGCAGCTGGGCTGGTGATCATGCATTTGTCCTCAGTTTTATTTTTGCACCCTAGCTATACATCATTAAAATGAACGTTCTTGTCCAATTCACTCTTATATTATCCCATTCACCGGAGAAAGGTACTGCCTGCTCCTCTTTCCACCAGCAAAAATCTCTTATATTATCCCATTCACAGGAGAAAGATACTGCCTGCTCCTCTTTCCACCAGCAAAAAACAGGGATTCGGTTTAATTTGATATACTGCTAGTTAGTTAGTTAGTTTAGTTAATTAGTTAGTTAATATCCCACCCAACTAGATTGAACTCTACTCTGAGAGTGTCTACTCTACTATGAGAGTGAACTGATGAAAAGGTAGTGGAAGGAGTTAAATAATGGGAAATTAATGGTGTAATATCCCATAAATAACCTCAATCTGCTGATATTTACAATCTGTTACTTTTAATGCATTTTGGAGATTATATAATCTAGGCTGGTGTCATGTGCCAAAAACAGAGAAGAAATGGCAACATTATTCAACTGCTTACTGCACACTGGGTGACATGAGGAAAGTAGGAATAAATAAAGAGAAAAGGAAAAGAGATAGGTCCAAAGCGTGATGTTCAGCTCTTACTGGAATGTTATCACTTCACACTGCAGGAAGAGAAAACGTATTTGCAAGCTTCTAGACATAAGAGGTCCTGTTCATAAAACACAGGGATGTGGTGGCGCTGTGGGCTAAACCGCAGAAGCCTGTGCTGTAGGGTCAGAAGATCCGGCAGTCGTAAGATTGAATCCACGCAACGGAATGAGCACCCGTCGCTTGTCCCAGCTCCCGCCAACCTAGCGGTTCAAAAGCATGCAAATGCGAGTAGATAAATAGGGACCACTTCGGTGGGAAGGTAAACAGCGTTCCGTGTCTAAATCACACTGGCCATGTGACCACGGAAAGATTGTCTTCGGACAAAACGCTGGCTCTATGGCTTGAAGAGCGGGATGAGCGCCGCCCCCTAGAGTCGGACACGACTGGACAAAAATTGTCAAGGGGAACCTTTACCTTTACCTCATAAAATACAAATGGTGCCCTGCATAGCGATGATAATCCGTTCCAAAAAAAATCGCCGCTATGTGGATTCGTCGCTATGCGGGGCAAAAAAGCCCATAGGAACAAATTAAAACATGTTTAATGCGTTCCTATGAGCAAAAACCTCACCGTTCTGCAAAAATCCTCCACACGGCCGCCATTTTCACTGCCCGGTAAGCGAGGAAAGGGCGCGAAAACACAGCGGGCAGCCATTTTCTTTACCCGGTGGCTATTTTGGAACCATTGATCAGCTGTTGGAAAAACATCATTATGCAATAATTGGTAAGTGAAACAGCTTACCGATCATCGCAAAGCAATGTTTTCCCATTTAAAACATCGTTATGCGGTGCGCAAAACTCAATCGCTGTGCAGATTCATCATTAAACGAATCACTCGTTAAGCGAGGCACCACTGTACTTGCATCTCAGGAAGGAATCCAGGCTAGAAGTTGATACCTAACTGACATCCCAGGTTTCTATGTGCAATGATTTTTTCCATTGGGGAATGTTTAAGAATGTGGGCATTCTACTATTTAAAGAGAAAATATATTTGTGAAGCATTAATATATGCATTTCTCATACCTACTGTCTGACATGACAAAATCCATTCTTTGGCCTCATTCTGCTTTACAGAATGCAATTTAATATTAAGTCATGTTTTTGTCTATTTAGATAGAGACCTGCTGGACAGTTTTGTCTGACATGACAAAACCCATTCTTTGGCCTCATTCTGCTTTACAATGCAATTTAATATTAAGTCCTGTTTTAGCTCTATTTAGATAGAGACCTGCTGGACAGTTTAGTGGTTTAGGCATGGGAGTTTGATTCCCCACCGTGCCTCCCTGACAGGGGCTGGACTTGATGATTCATAGGGTCCCTTCCAGCTCTGCAGTTCTAAGGTGATAATGATTAGTACTACTTAATCTGACTGGCAGCAGTGCTTCAAGAAAGATGTGTTCCATAACCTTTTACTTCATCCTTTTAAAGGGAGATGACAGAGACTGAATCAAGACCATATAGATGCAAAATATGTATTCTGGCCCCAGCTACTGTCCCCTTTTAATATAACAGATATCAAACCTTTTTAGGACCAAAAAGCAAAGCAAAGCAAAGCATGCTGCTTATATACTGCCCCATAGCACTTCAAGCACTCTCCACATTGCCCCTCCCCCAGCAAGCTGGGTACTCATTTTACCAACCTCGGAGGGATAGATGGCTGAGTCAACCTTGAGCCGGCTACCTGGAATTGAACCCCAGGTTGTGAGCACAGTTTTGGCTGCAGTACAGCGGTTTAACCACCGTGCCACGAGGCTCCTCCAAAACAGACATACAGAATCCTCCCAGAGACACACTTTCAAAACTGTTGTGTTTGCAAAATAATATGGAAACAGAACCAGCTGTTTCCTCCAAATGATCAATCACCAAACAAAAGCAAGCTAATTTGTAACCTGCAATGCTGTGAATTATACTTTATCTTCTCAACATCATAAAATGCCCTTTACTGCTTAAGTCAGCTCTGCTTCTATTGGCAAATCTTCCTGCCTTATCTGTTTTGGCCATTAGTTTCAATAAAGTTACTACACGGTATTCCCTTAATGTTCTAGGAGTTCATATTATCAACCAGATCTTATTTTCAGAGCTGTGCATTTAGAACAAGTGCAGCACATTTGTCTGGCATTCACCAAGTTTTCCTATTTGTAGCGTCAGGCAGCCATGTTGCTCTCTAACTTTCTCCTTCATTTTAAGAAAAGTCCAAAAAGAAATTCTGCAAAGATCAACTTCCAGTACATTTACAGAAGTGCCATTTTCAGAAGGTTTGTTTGCATTGAATTGAGCTGCTTCTTCTACTATAAACATCCAATTCAGATTGTCATCCTCTCTAAAAAAAATAATATATTGGGGAGTCTAATAATGTATAATAATCTGGAAAATGACACTGTTGTCAACTTGTTATGTACGTACTGAGAACACACATGCAGCCTAACCCAGCAATATTCAACATTTGCAGACCCAGGAACTTCTGTTAATTCCTCCTGATCTGTATGTACATGGGGCCTATTTTTAACTCTGTCAGCCAGCTTCTTTCTTCTCTCCCTCATTCTAAGGACCCTGTGAAACAATTCTAATCACATAAGAAAGAAAAACAGAGTCCTGGGCAGTTTACAAGATAAAGAGTCCTGCCCGCTCACTGGTACTACCAACTCTCTTACTGACAGACTGTGACTGAGGACCTCCACATTTAGACTGGATTTCTCCTTCTGTGTGTGTTTAAGCTTTCTACATCACTGAGAAAGTGTCGAGAGCGTAAAAGACATAGGCAAAACAATTAAATGTGGAAAAGGTAAAGTGGAACAATTCACCTGAAGTCTGGATATAACCTATTTTTCAGTTATAAGCACTGACAATTTCTCAGTTGTTAGAACAATAATTAAGTCAACATTAGGATGACATCTGCATTCCAGACAAGGAAAACTCAGAAACAAGTTTAACAGCCATTTGTGAAAAAATACTTTGTTCCCATTAGGACGTGTCCCTCTTAAACATGACATTATTGTATTCAAAATTGCAACCTCAGCCTTTAAAGCAGTGGTCGGGGAACACGGATAAGTTATCCCAAATAGCATAAAAGTGAAAATCCCGGGGGTAATGAGCAGAGCGCTACCTCCCTCTCTCCCTCCCACCCTCACCCTCTGCAGCCAAACCTCAAATTGTAAGCCACCTCTTCCTGTTACTTCCTTGGTTGCAGCAGAGCACTTGTAAATCCTCCGTTCTTTCAGAGATCGGAGATAAGCCTGCTTGATTGGTTACAGCTGTGGAATAGCCCCGGCCAATCAATCCGGGGCTTGTGAATGACTTCTTCCGTCAGAGATGACTGCAAGCAATCAGGAGGAGGTTGGAGATGACTGCAAGCAATCAGGAGGGGGGAGAGGATTAAGTTAAGGAGGGAAGGAAGGTGGGAGAGACTAGGGCTTCATCAAGCTTATTTAATTAAGTTAAGGAGGAAAGGAAGGTGGGAGAGACCAGGGCTTTATCAAGCTTATTTAAATGTACAGTGGACCCTCTACTTAAGGAGGTGGGTGAGTGGACGGACGTGTGTGTGTGAAAGAGAGACTGATTCAAAACTATGAAAAAAGGAACAGGCAAGGCGTGAATTAAGGCAGGAAAAAAGGGTGGAGGGAGGGTGGTTGGATGTGTGTTTGTGTGTGAGAGAGACTGACTCAAAACTATGAAAAAAGGAACAGGCAAGGC